CCCCAAAACCCCAAAACCCCAAAACCCCAAAACCCCAAAACCCCAAAACCCCAAGACTGGAATTAGTGATTGAACTGGTGTTTCGTGAAATAACGTCACTTTTTTAAATGTCTAGAATATTCTAACTGGTCATGATGTAGTAAAAGGTGACTATTCCTCCGGGTTGGCCGATGATACAGAAGAAGATCCAGAAGAAGGCGTTACCTACTTCAGGGGTTATATACTTTTTGTATTTATCTTGAATTAAGATGATTGGAAGCTGTCACATCATCCCATTGAAGCCAAGGCCGGTGATTCTTCCAGTGACCCCAGCTATTATGTATTCGTGGAAGAAAGCTGAGAAGGCGAATACGATGCCCATAGCCATTCCTCTTCCAATCTTTCTTCTCTTGATAGGGAAGTAGATATGTCTTGTAAGCCAGTAATGCATTGGCAGATTCCATTTCCTCCAGTACTCGTCAAGAGTCACCGAGTTCCACCAATCGTCATAGAAATTTTTATCTGAAAATCCTGTGAGTTCAGCAAAAGCGTTTAAGTATCAGTGGAAACCGAGATAAAACTGGATCAGCCATGCGTATGTGTTTGGAGCTGACAGACTGAAGAAGTAGTAAACTGTCTCCCAATAGTCTTCTTTCCTGAAGCTCTCCACTGTATCTACAGTTATTGGAAGGGAAACTTCACTTAAAATTGTGATCCATACAGCAATGAAGAAGAAACACTGAAGTAGTCTTACAATGAAGCCTAAGATATTTCTCTTCTTGTAGTAAGGATACTCTAACTGGAAACAAAGTGTTGGGATTAAGCAGAACATCCAGACATCCCCTACAGTCACGTTTCCAGGGTACAGATAAATTTCGTCAACAAGGTTTCCAGGAAGGAAGAGGTGATCACCTAACTTCTCCTTTGATATGGATACTTTTCTTCTGTGGGTTTTCTGGGTTTTGATTTGGTCAACTTTACTTTCACCGACATCCTCAAATTTGTTAGCCTTTATCAGATGGTACCTCACATCGTGCCAGATGTGATGATAGCTCCAGAATTTGAAGAACCAGATACAAGAGAACATCAGGTAGAACATTCCTGCAAATGCATTCGTTGGATACACTTGAAGGTAATATATTGGAAATACTAGCACATACAGCAGGTTTAATACTACTAAGCAGAAGAATATCGCCCTCGGGATTGATGCTCTGGGCCCTAAAAATTTCTCAAGAAGGTAAGAAACCGCAGGGCAGAGTACAAACCAATGGTTTGCGTATAGGAACCATAGAACAGATTCAATGGTGATAAAGCTTCCTTGATGAGTTAACAACAATACTACTCCTTCTTTCAAAGCTTCTCCTTTTGAGCTGAACTGCTTATAGATAAACCTACAGTTGGATATAAGGACTAAGAGAATCAATATTGTGACGATTCCTCTATAATTTGAGTGCTCAATTCCTCTGGAGAGGGCAGAGACTCCTCTTGCAGAATGCATGTTGCATAGAAGTGCTCTCCCAACTTCCTTAGGCTGCTTGCTTCTTTCATCAATTGTGTTGGTCAAAGATCAAAAATCATTTGGGTGATCTTCATCAGCTTTGAGTTCAACATATTTGGGGTCTTGAGAGCTCTTGCTTTTGGTCTTCTGGGCAATCTTGACAATATTTTCCTTCTGCTTGGCTTGGTAGATCACAGTTCAATTAGGAATTTGGAAATTAAAGTCTCCTAGGCTAGCCTGCTCATGATTACTGGTATACTCAAAGGTGGTGTTGTTCATTTGACCATAGATCGTTTTCCATCCAAGCTGGTTACCTCCATGGGCATCCTTCTTGACTGGGATGAGACCTTGCACTGTATAGAGCTTAATGTCTATCATTTTAAATTAGGTTATTTTCTATTTAAGATCTTTAATAAGGGGTTTTGGGGTTTTGGGGTTTTGGGGTTTTGGGGTTT